AGTATAAAATTGACTAAGAATTGTGAAAGAGTTGTGACATAATTAGAACATGCAAGTGTTATAGGCAGCATTATGTATAATGTGCATTGTACCAAACTAGATATAGTCTTTATTATTTGTAAACGTTTAAGGTTTAAAAGTAAACCTAGCAAAGATCATTGGAAGGCTATTACTAGAATACTTAGATATTTAAAGAAAACTAAAAATTTAAAAATTTGTTGCAATGGTTTTTCTAGTACTTTAGAAAGATTTTCTAATATTAGTTGGATAACTAGTATTGATGACAATAAATCCACATTAGGATGGATTTTTACTTTAAGAAATGGTACCATTAGTTGGGCATATAAGAAGCAGACTTGTATTATGCATTCCACTATGGAATCGGAATTTTTAACATTAACAGCTATTGGAAAAAAAGATGAATGGTTGAAAATTTTGTTTTTAGATATAAAGTTGTGGTCACAACTGATGCCAACCATTTTCATATATTGTGATAGTAATGCCACAATGTGTGTAGCCCATAATAAAATCTATAATGGAAAGTTTAGACACAAAAGTCTACGACATGCCTACATAAAAGAATTAATCTCAAATAAAGTTGTAACAATAGTTTATATTAAATTTTTCAAGAATTTGGCCGATCCTCATATCAAAGCTTTGCCAACAGAGGCTGTAATTCAACTTCTAGTGGAATGGGGCTAAAACCCTTGACTCAAAAGCATTAATAATGGAAACACAACTTTGAGTTAACAAAACTAACAATAAAAGTTCAATGAGTAATAACAAGTTACTATATTCTATCATTATGCACTGAATTTTTAATATTAAATAGCTTCATTCTAGAATATTCAAATAAGCTCATTTTAAAATATTCAGTGCGACTATTAGGAGGAGAGGATGAGTAAAAAGCTCGTAATGGAAATATCAAATGCTTGCAGTAACCGGGGCATAATTATAAATTTCACCTATATGAATATTGGACTGGTACCACTTCAAACAAGAGTTAAAAGAGTTTACTCTTGTAAATATTCATGAAACCAGGATTAGCACAATGTCATATAAGTGCTAAAGCAGTTAGCAGAATCTTAAAGCAATTAAATAATGCTGTGTGTGTGATATTTTCGATTATGACATAAGGAGTTGTGGTTCAATCACTGTGATACTAATAACTTCATCTTAACTTTAAAATTTATACACTAATAGAAAGTTCAAACTTTCAAGATACTCTCTACTATGCATAGTTATTAATGTTACAAACTAGTGGGAGATTGTTAGATAGTTTGTAATATAAAGAAGTCTTAATTAGATGTGATTAGTCAAATTAAAGTGACTATTTAAATTAAGTATTTGTGTAGATTAAGACATGACTCTTAAATAAAGAAAAGTACTTTCAAACACATTTGTTGAAATACGTTGATTAATTTCAACAGACACATTTCTTAAAACTTAACAAGACATATCTGCTGAAACATACTAAACACAACCCTTCAATGTCTACAAAAAGAACATATGTTCAACCACACTTCATTCATTCAAAGCATTCTGCAATGAACTTGTTATACCCTGAAGAGTCCTTGTGTACAAATCTCCATAGTAGGCGACAACTCTTAAAAAAATTGTCTCACAGCGCACCTCAAACCTTTTTTCTCTCTTTTTCATATTATGTTTTTCTAACACTTATCAGCCATGGTTAACACTAACATGAAACTATAAAGCCTTGATTGGTCATAGTATATATAAAAATAGTACCATTATTGCAATTTGCAATAGCAGAAATTAGAGTTGGCTAAACTTGATTTAGTTTAGAAAGTTACTCAATCTGTCTTAATTTGAAATCAATTCAATGTAATTTATTCAAAGCTAACAAGATCATAAAGAGACTTAACCTAATTTGATCCGAACTAAAATGATAAAAAATTTAAATCGAGTATAATATATATATTTCCTCATTTTAAAATTTAAATTAACTAAGTATGATAAATGTAACTATAAACATTTAAATATGATTTGAATTCAAATCAATTTGAATTAGTTTATATAAAAGAAAATTTGTTAAACCAAAATAGTTCGATATCTAAATTGGCCCTTATCAAAACTATTTATATTCAAACGAATCTAAAAGTGATTCAAATTGACACGAACTTAACTTGATGCGACTTACCTAATTGTTGTGTTTAGTAAAACCTAACCAGTTCTTTTAAACATTTCCTACAATTATTTATTTGAGTGGGAGGTTGCCAGTTATCTATTTGGAAAATCCCCTCTACCATTCATGATTGTTATTAGATAATTGTCTAATATATATGTTGATAACACTTATTTTTATCCTTATCTTTCACCTAATAAAATTGCAATTAATGCAACTTTTATATTCTTAAATTGAATCATCAGTAACAAACCAATGTTGGGCTTCAAAAGAAAAATTAAATAATTCATCACCTCAAATAATTGTAAAAAGAAAAAAGTAGGTAAGCTTTAAAAAGAAAAAAACATAGAAAGAATAACACAAGCTTGTACACCTATGCAATAATGAAAATGTCACCATCCTCAAAAGAGAAAGAGTAAGACATCTTGCTTTAGTAATGCTTTCCAATCCTAACAAGAGAAACGTGAGAAGCTTAGCATAGTCCTTCCCTATGATATTTAATAGTGCAGGTTGTTGAATGATCATGATCATGCATGTTCAACGTGCACAATTCATACAGACAAAGTATGTCTAACATAAAGTATTATCCATGCAACTATTTATAAGTGAGTTCTTCTAAGCTACTTGATCACAAGCCAAAGCTAAACTCTCAAAACCCAAATGAAAGCAAAGAGAAAAAAAATGCCATTGTCCACCTGTACAACAACTTCAATGGTTACTCCCCATTTCACTAAAAAGCCCAAAATTGGTGTAGTGGGAAAAGAAGAAGACGAAGAAAATCTAAGCAATGAGTGCAAGGAGTTGATTCATTCTCTTCCCAAAGAGAAAGGTTGGAGAACTCCTTTCATATATCTTTTCCAAGGCTTTTGGTGTCAACCAAAAGAGATTCAAGCCATAATCTCTTTCCAAAAACACTTCCAAGCAAGAGACTCTGATGTAATTCTTGCTACCATACCAAAATCAGGTACAACATGGATAAAGGCCTTGACCTTTGCCATCATGAACCGCAAGCGTTTCACCACTTCAAGCAAAAACCATCCACTGCTTACATCCAATCCCCATGATCTAGTACCTTTCTTCGAGTACAAGCTTTATGCAAACAACCAAATCCCTGACCTCTCCAACCTTCCCAGGCCTAGACTTTTTGGGACTCATGTTCCATTTGCTTCATTGCCAGAATCAATAAAGAGTTCTAGTTGTCGAATTGTTTATGTATGTCGGAACCCTTTTGACACATTCATCTCCTCATGGCATTACATCAACAAAGTGAGGCCAGAATCTCTACCTCCATTTCCACTAGAAGAAGCTCTCAACTTGTATTGTAAGGGGGTGGTCGGCTTCGGACCCTTTTGGAAGCACATGTTAGGGTATTGGAAAGAAAGCATGGAGAGGCCGGAGAAGGTTTTGTTCATGAAATATGAGAACATGAAGGGAGACACTATCTCCCACTTGAAGATGTTGGCAAATTTCTTGGGGGTCCCTTTTTCAATTGAAGAGGAGAAAGAAGGTATAATAAAGGACATAGCAAAGCTATGTAGCTTTGAGAATTTGAAAGATTTGGAGGTCAACAAATGTGGAAAATCCATTAAAAACTTCGAGAACAAACACTTGTTCAGGAAAGGCGTGGTAGGAGACTGGGTGAATTATCTCTCCCCTTCAATGGTTGAGCAGTTATCCAAAGTTATCAAGGATAAATTAGGTGATTCTGGCCTGAGATTTAAGGCGTTTTCCTAGGACTATGTCTACTTGACATGGAATATAATATCCATATACATCTATTTATGGTCTTATTATATTTGGCAATTCTCCTGAATTCCTTTGAAAATGGAAATAATGAAAGGATAGAGAAGATAAAATATTTGGGTCCATTGAATTTTGCGGGGCTACATTCAATATCAATGTTCAAAAAGGGTAGCTCAACAACGTTGGTGATCATTCCAATCCATGACACTTGTTTTTTGTTTTTTTTTTTCTCAATCAAAATCAATATTACTCCATATCAAAAGTCGATATATGAGTTAATTTGTTGATTTTGGTCAAGTCGAATATAGTAACATATTCACGTAAACTTATAATCACATGAAATGTTCATCAATTATACTTTACTATCATGATTTATTAGTAAAATCTCAGCCTTTTCAATTATTTCATTATTTTTTATGATTTTTGTTATAGTTCATAGTATCTACTCTCTTTTCCCCTCTGATTCTCACAATCGATCAACTTAATCAATATAGACCTATCTTCTAATGAAGAAAAAAGTGAGAGGCACGATGACAAATGGAGAAAAAGAAAAGTTATCTTTTACGAAATGCATAGCATTTTGTGATCAACGTTGAAAATGTGTTGCTATCTACGAATCATAAATTGGGCAGTTGCAATCAGGCAAAGGAAATTGATGGATTCACATGCCCATGTCTGGACAACATTACTTTACCACGAGCTGTTCACGTCACGCAACACGTGGCAAAGTTAATAAAAGATTTTTTTTTCTTGGAAAGTGAAAAAAAAAATGTAGAAGGAAAATTCACGTGAGAAAAGAAACGATATTTAAGCGTATATATTCTTTGAAAAATTAAATCTTTTGGAGATTTAGGTTTTTTAATCTGTGTGTTGCATGATTAATTTCTCAATATATTATTTAAAATAAAAAATTAAATAATTTTGACATAATATAAAAAAAAAACTCTTAAATTATTTAAAAAATGTATATAAGCTCTTATACTTTTTTTATGTTCAAATTATTAACGTGACGAGATGGACTGTCAGGACTAGAGATGTTTAAGGATCGAGTGACCTGTTTAATGTATTAAAAATATGTGTCGAAACCCAAATTCAATCTCGTTTTTTAATTATATTTTAAAATTAAAATAGGTTCGAGCTAGATCGGTCCCGAGTTAAAAACTTCTGTTTCGATTTTCGAGCTCGATTCAAATTGGGCCAAGCCTTCGGGCTTGACACTAGGGAACCGGCCCCGGTTCAATAAACAGGTCTAATCAAGGCATTAGCCATTCTCTTTCTTGTTGCCTCCCTATCGGTCCTATTGCCAACAACCCTCAGACCGAACCCCAATTGAGAGTTGCAAGACAGTGATAACTACACGAGGATACCCTGTTCTCTGGAGGTAAGGCCCAAAACTAGGCCCATATAAAATTGTTAGGCCGTTGATAATGACATTTTGGTCAAAGGCTTGCAGGGGAAGTCAAAGTCAACGAACAAAATCTATTTCTTTTTTTTTTGACGCTAGAATGTTCTGGCAGGCTCAACCACCTTATTAGTGTTTTACCAATAAGGAAAATAAAAGCATACGTATGGGAGGGCAACATAACCTTACTTGCGAATTTACATGAGCACAAAAATAATAATAACAATAATAATAATAAAACTTTAAGAAGATTTTACTTTCCTTGTGTATTTTTGGATAATACTGTAAAGAAAAAAAAAACCCATTCTTACAAAATTTTAAAAATAGTAAAAAATGATACTAAAAATAAATTAAGAGTGCTACTCTATTATTTTTTTAAAAAAATAAATAAAAGATAAATTTAATTTATCTAATCTAAAAATTTCTCTAAGCTCACCTTTTGTTGGAGAAAATACTTATAGAATTTGGTGCGTGTGCCCATGGTTGGATAAAAAATTAACTACTTTTTTTATGCTCTATGAATGTGCGAAATTCTAAAAGATACGTGCGAAATTCTAAAAGACATGCCTTTCAAACATTTTCGGATCAACCCTAGCAGATAACATATATGATGTGAACCTTATGGTTATCCTTAATCATCTAAACAGCCACCTTAACATCCATTTCTATCCACACTATCGTCACATGAGCTCAATGCATAGGAGCAAGCCCCTATGTAGTGTTAGTAATTTTAACGTTGACTTTGATGACAATTAAACTCTCGTCACGACCATATCATTATTAATATTAACATGAAATGTTAATTTGACACGATAACATGATCATATGATATTTTTTACCTTCCACATCGATGCTTTGTTAGTGCCATGTAGATATAAAATGACAAAGGAAATCATGATTAATAGCAATTAGTTAATCATTAGTCATAAGGGTTTATTTTATTTAAAATAATAATATAATAGCTTGATTAAACACAATAAAAGAATAAAAATTTATTTAAATTTTTTAAATAATTTAAAGACATATTTGAACATTATGTCAATAATTTTTTAAATACATCAACGAATTGCATTGTAACAATTAAGTGTTGCATTTTCATGGGTTTCGAACTCATATGAGAGACCATGGATTATGTGGAAAGTTTTAGTCAAAATTGACGGATTGCAAAAGGTTTTTTTAGTTTTTAGTTCCTTTGGCAATATATTTTAGCATTTGATTTTGTTGTGCTTATTGTTTTTACTATTATTTTGATGGTGTTTTGGAACGGTGACTTGTATTCCTAGTTTCTTCAATGACGTTGGGAAGCTATATTAAACATGATCATGAATAAAATGGATTGTTTGAGCAAAATAATAATAATAATAATAATTTAATATTTCTATTGAGCTTATTTTTAAAAAAAACACAAAAATTAAATGCATAAACCAATTTAGGTATTTAATATTTAATATTAATTTGGGGTGAAAGAGAAAAAAATTATAAAATATATTTTGGTAAAAGCTACATTAAAAAAATAGGTAAAATACCTAGACCTAACTTTTAATTGAAATTCTAAGCAAGTATATTAGTTTTTGAAGTAGATACTCTATTCCAAAATAATATCTTCTGCTAGACACACAAGTCTAACCATTAGTCAATCTTTAGTATTTCCGTTAGTCTAATGACATGGCAATATTAAAAGAACAATTTTATCCCTTATTAATTTTAAAAATTACTATTACATATATTTCTTTTCTTGCAAAAAGAAATCAAAAGAGAAAAAAAATTCAGAGAAGCACCAGATCTAGTGCTCCCATGGCACGAGAGCACCAAATCGATGCTCCCAAGGGTGCTTCCCTCTCTTAGGGAGCATCGATCCCTTAAGGAGCACCTGCCATAGTATGGCCACTTTGTTTGAGAGAAAAATAATGAGAAAAAAAAAAGGTATTTTAGTCTTTTCATATTTTGTATTAACTGTGTTTACACTTTTGGGGTGAACTTTTCATTTTGAAAACTAATGGACTCGCATGAAATTATGACTAAAAATTAAAGGTGAGAGTATTTTACCCTTAAAAAATTACTAATATTTTCTTTGAAAGTGCATATTTTTCTAGAATGGGTAGTTTTTTTTTTTTGACATAATATCTTAAAATGCTCCTAAACTACTTAGGAAAATTCAAATAAGCCTTTATACTTTTATTATGTTTAATCAAACTTTTATAGTTTTAGTTTGAGTCAAATAAATCTTTATATTTTTATTTTGAGTCAAATAAGTTATTATCACTAATGATTGGATTAGTAAAAAATGTCACTTGTTTTTCTATGACAGTGGTGTTGACGTGGCATTCATATGGCATGTTGACATCTCATAATAAATGTTGGTGTGACATGTTAATGTAACATAATTACATAGTTATATGATATTTTTTACCATTCACATCAAAGTCAAATCAACATCACATGAACATAAAGTGACAATGGACATTTTGAGTACTACCATTTAGTCAATCATTTGTCATAAGAACTTATTTGATTCAAAATAAAAATATAAGGACTTGATTAAACGAAATAAAAGAATAAATATTTATTTAAATTTTCATAAATAATTTAAGAGGTTTTTTAGCATCATGCCTTATTTTTTTATGCGTGTGTAGAAATAAATCAAACTCTCATTAAGAAGTGAAAGACATAAATATTCCTAATTTTATTTAAGTTTTATGTAACTTTATCAACTGAGTTTATGTCACTTAATTAATTAGTGATACCAAATTCAATAGTTGATTATAGTAATAATATAACAAGTTACAGAGAAGTAAGAGAAGATGGAAAGAGGATTAGAGGAAGGAGTATGGAATTACTATAATATTATAATTCTTTCTTTATACAAAACAATGACATTAAATTTAGTTTTACCAATTTTTCTTTTCAGATTTTTTTGAAAAGCATAGTGATTATTGTATTAGTATACTGGTTATGTACATAATGCGAATTAAAAGTTTGGGAAAATATTTTTTTTTTGCCTTTAAAAATAAAGTGTTTTTAAAAATAACCCTCAAGATAATTTTAACTGTTTTTAACCACAAGAATAGATTTTGAGACAAAAATGCCCTTAATGAGATATCTTCGTTGACACGCACCCTCAAACATGCAAAAAATGAGAAAATAAATAGATAAATATGCAAAAAATTTACGAACATCTAATTTTGTGCAAAACATCCATTTTTTCGCGAAGTTTGTGCAAAGCAAAATAATGTTGCATGAGAAGGTTTTTTAGATATTCCGAACATGACATTTAGATAATATGAGAAGAAAGATATTAAACCGATCGAGAAACCGATCATGATGAATCGAAAGCTTCGAAAATGATGTGAAACCGAAAATCCGTGATACGGAGGTGAATCGAAAGGAGAAAGATGTGAATCCAAAGCACAAAATGGTCGTACTACAGCAGGGCATATGTGAGACGGCTGTGGCACGGCAAGGTTTAAAGTTTGTGAGACTTCATGGGGGGAATATGCAAGACGGCAGGGTGAAAATATATGACACAACTCGAAGGGAATATGTGCGATGACATGGAGAGAATATGTGACACACTAGTGTTAAAATGTGGCATGAAACGGAAAGTTAGGAATATGTGACAAGGCATGGTGGTAATGTGTGACACTGTTGTGACACGGCAAGGTTTAGAGTTTGTGACACATCATGGAGGGAATATGTGACACTGTAGGGTGAGAATATGTGACACATCTATGACACGCCAAGATTTAGAGTTTACGACACGCCATTGAGGGAATTTATGACATGCCATGGAGGGAATCTTAGAGAATGTTAGACGACATGGCTTGAACATGTGACATGACATGGTTTTAAATAAGAAGACAAAAAGCAGGCAAATAACGAGGAAACCGATTGGACTTCCATTGAATGCATGAAATGAATAAATGACTATTATAAGACCATCTAAAATAAATTAAATATTTTTCAGAATTCA